TGCCTAGAATCTATATTTGTATTAAAGTTTTCATTTAGTGTATAAGAATATTTAGCTCGATACCGTATATGTTGATCCGATTACTTTTGTATATTTGGGATTGGTGTAAAAACTCATAAACTTAAAGCCCGTTTGGCCAATTTTTTTTCCACTCTTTTGAGAAACTTTCACTTTTTTCGGAATCAGTGTTTGGCTATGAAAATTTTAAATTTCATTAGAAGTTAAATTTCGGAATATTTCAGAAATTTAAATAACTCCAAAAAGTTATTTTTCAAAATTTTCAGTTCAAATCACTGGATAAAATTCAAAAACATTTCCAAATTATATTCATATCTAAACACAACTTTAATTTTCAAATACCATTTTCACTTGATATTTTTTTCTCCATACTTTTTTCTATATTTTACAATTCTTAAATCCAAACGCCCATTTAAAATCTTGAATTCGCCCCTGTATGCAGGTGGGACTACATGGATGCAGGAGGGACATTGTATCAAGATATGAACAGGCTAGTGGCACTAGAGAGAGGCCTAAGGACATGGGCAAGATGGATTGATGCCAATATTGACAAAACTAGAACCAGACTCTTCTTCCAGGGCATTTCACCTACACATTACAAGTATGTCAACTCTCCCCCCCCCCCCCTCCCTCCCTGCTCTGCAAAATTGTTATATGGATCTTCATTTGGAATCGGCTATATAAATTCTCACTAGTTATGTTACTCTCCTTAAGCCCTTCTCGATCTAATATTAAATAATGTTGGACTCGTACAATCTTAAGTAATGGAGCAACACGAGTACCGAAAATTCATATAACTGATCTTAACTTGCCCTGGACTGAAGTATGACATTTGTTGTTCTTGTTTTCCGCAAAATTTGTTGGACTAGTCCCCTTAGTAAATTGTCTAGGGTAAATAGAAAAAACTTTGAGAGAATGTATATTTTTAGCCGATATGTATATTATTACATATAATATACATATTTTATATATTTTTTGGTCGGATATAATTAATTTTGATCGAAGTTTGCCCAAACTTTTGGTGGTTCAGTCCTGTGGGGGCCTAGCCCTAGCCTAGCTGTCATTGACTATCATAGTTTCATAGGTAGCAGTACAAGTTGGACAAAGCCTACATGATTCGAAAGGTATGTTTAATTATAGTAATTTGGATAAGATTTTGAAGAAGGAAATAAATAAATTGTTTGAATTGGAACAAAATATTGTGAAAATTAGCATTTGCTTCAAAATTCTGAATACTTGATTGGAAAACAAAAATTTGTTCAATATTTGGAAAAATTAGTTTTTAACAAAAGACCAAAGAAAATAAGTTTGATCACCAAACAAACTGAAGGTGTTGATTTGACTATCATAATATCACGATGCATGTATTTCATTAATAATTATAATTTTCACATGATTATGTCTCCCGTTGATTGATACTCCCTCCGGTCTAAAATAAGTGATTTTTTTGGATGTTTTCACACAGATTAAGAAATCCACCTTTTAACATTAATTAGCAATGGAATTGACCATATTAACCTTTACTATCTCACATAAACACTCCTAACACATATTCCAACACTATTTACTCCAAGGACAATGTAGGAAAAAAATGATTAATTCATTCTTGAAATCTAGAAAAATCATTAGACCACAAGAAAAATGCCAAAAAATCACTTATTTTGGACCGGAGGGAGTAGTTAAATAAATTTGTGTATTATATCGTTGATCTTTGTTCGCGAAGCCACATTGCAAAAATTACTTTCCAAAAACTATTTCTAGACGAAAAATGTTTTTCCAATTAAAAACTAAATAAAATTAAATCCAAGCACCGGTTTCTTAGATTGAATTCTTATTTACCTTCATGATTTGCATAAATATAAAAAAATACCTATTATAATTTCAATATTTATTCCACACTAGTATGTGTATAAGCTATATATAGTACTTGTACAATAGAGGACATGATGAATAGATGTTCGGACAAGGTGAGGTAAAGTGAGTTGTCAACACCGTTTTGTTTGTTGGACTATAATAATACTACAATAGAGTCTTAAAGTAGGGATATTTACCTAAATAAGTCGAATTTACTGTTTAATTTTCCTAATCGATATACATAGATTATATATTAATTGCACAGAATTATACACGCACACATGTATATATATCAAAATTATTTTTAATTTAATCGATTAGGTGAGCGATTATTTAGGTTAATTTTTCTACAAACAAATATAAGGCAAATATTAGCCCATTGTAGTTGGTGGAATATTGGCATATGATCAAGTACTTTCCTCACATGTGGGATCTTCAAAGCTCAATGGCCTGATAGACAATTATGCACTACTAAAATAATACTCCTACTATTTACATGTGAAATTGCAGACTTAGAATAAATAAATAAATATATGTCACTCTTTAATAATTTAAACTTTTACATAAACTTCTCATCACAATCTTATATAGTATCAAAGTTAGCAAAAATGATTAGAATTTGAATGATATTTCGTATCTCAACCAACTTTTTACTTATATCAAATGTGTGTTTGATTTCTGGAAAAGAACCAAACCCACACTTGTTGTAGATAAATAAAGGAATTATTACGCAAATAGCTGGACAAATTCATTGTTTATTTGTTTTAGCCAGTATATATAGATTACACATTGATTATACCCAGTTATACACATAGTATATATGAATTATACATATATTATACATTCGCTAGCTATTTTTAGTTTAAGAGATTAGGTGGGCGGCTAATTGGGTTAATTCTTCAAAAATATTAAACAATAGTGTTCTATCTTCACAATTTGAAATTTTAGTTGAAGCACTTAATACAATCTTATTAACAAAGAGCAGATTGGTATAGTAAACCCATGTTTAGGTGGGGTTCGAGGAAGAGCCGAACCAGATAGAATTTATTAATTATACATAGCATTATCTTGCATTTTAACAAGAGGATGTTTCCTGGATGATAACTCTGGACATTGCGCCAAGGCTTCCCTTTGGTTAACACAATAGAATATGACATAATAATTTGTCCATTGAGACGGTTTACGCAATACAATGAATGATATGATATGATGATATACTAACACTTCGTCAATTATGGCAGCCCAAGCGATTGGACCACCGGCACATCGGTGGCGACGACGAGAAGTTGTTACGGCGAGACCGTGCCGATGACCGGCACGGCGTATCCGGGCACGTACCCGGATCAAATGAAGGTGTTGCAGACAGTAATAAGGGACATGAACAACCCTCCTTTTCTATTGGACATAACATTTCTATCAGCAATGAGAAAAGATGCACACCCTTCTATCTATAGTGGTGCACTCACCTCTGAACAAAGAGCAAATCCTGATCATTCTGGTGATTGTAGTCATTGGTGTCTTGCTGGTTTGCCTGATACTTGGAACCAACTTTTTTACACTGCCCTTTTCTTTTAGCATTTGGTATATTTGGTTCCTTTCGGGGACGTCTGATAAAATTGGAACGATACAGAAAAGATTAGCATGGCTCCTACGCAAGAATGACACGCACAAATCAAGACTCGTGGTATATTTCCTCTTTTTTCTTTTTTCTTGTTGCTTTATATGTTTTGCTCACAATTGATGCAATTCATTTTAGGACACCTTTACAAAGATCAAACATGTACTTGAGTAAAGTTTCATTTCTTGTTGGTGTAAATGCTTAACAAATATATCTTAGCTTGTTCATTTTGTAATTATTGATCACTTCTTGTGATTCAATTTTATTGAACTTGGGCTATCTGTGTCAAAATAACAGATTTCATGTGATCCATTTCAAAGTCTAATTTGATTTATATCCATTCAATTGGTAAGCCAATCTATCCATTGTGATTTTGACCATTGCTTCCATTTGCAAGCATTCTTTTGTTGAATTGTTCCCTTCTTGACAACAACAACAACGACCAGTGAAATTCCACTAGTGGGGTCTGGGGAGGGTAGTGTGTACGCAGACCTTATCCCTACCTCGAAGTACTAAAGAGGCTGTTTCCGAAAGACCCTCGGCTCAAGAAGACAAAAAAATAAAAGGAGACAATATCAGTAACACAGAAATCATAGGAAAAATAGGAACAACATGAAATCCAGAAGAAAGATGCAAAGCAAAAGCGAAAGAGTAACCCTACCAAACTAGTCTCACAAAGTTATGAAGTAAGGCAAGACTCAACTGCCTCCTAACCTACAACCCTAATACTCGACCTCCACATGTTCCTATCAAGTGCCATGTCCTCGGAAATCTGAAGCCTCACCATATCCTGCCTGATCACCTCCCCCCAATACTTCTTAGGTCGCCCTCCTTGACCAGTGGTCCAAGAAAAATATGCCGTCTTTCTAGAAGTGCATAATTGTCACGGGCCAAATAGAACCAGATCTAAAATTTAAACCTAACAGATTTATAACTTTGTGTCTTCGAAATTATCGGTTCAAACCTTAATATATGCAAAACCTTCTTGTTGTTTTCACATAGATGCACATATACATCAATTATATAAGCGAAAATATTGAATTCAGTTAAACTCATATTCAAAACTATAAGTCCCGACGCGAGGGCAGCCAATAGGAAATGAATAGTGGAACTGCTAGTTGTACTATTGAGAGAAGTCGTGATCTCATCTTGCTCAGCTCACATCATTTTAGAGTGTTTGAGAAGCTGGGGGTGCTGAGCTCACATCATTTTAGAGTGTTTGAGAAGCTGGGGGTGCTGGGCGGGCGGGTGGGGGCAGTGGCGAACGTACATGGTGGCAAGCGGGTTCAACTGAACCCGCTTCATCAAAAAATATTACTGTGTATATGTATAAATTACGATTGAAGCTGCGTAAATTTTGTATAAATATTTTATTTGAACCCACTTGACAACTACTATTTTACGACTAAAGTTATGTACTTCTAAAATTGACCCGCTTGCATAAAATCCTGGGTCCGCCACTGGGTAGGGATAGGGGGTGAGGGGTGGGGAAGAGCACAAAGTTCACATATATACATTAACCCTCCATATATGATCTTGATTTTTATTCTAGTCTTACATTTACTCGGTTCTCTTTTATGCAGCAGGATATCTAAAAGACATGCTGCTCTTTTCCTATAATAATGATAATAAACAATAAAAATAATAACAATATTTCAAACATGTAGTAGTAATGAAGACAATAGTAGACTAATGCTAGCTCCTTATTGTGAGCTCTGCAGCAGCACCCACTCCTACCATCCTCGGCACATTATCGATGATCGTTGTGTCCAAATACCCATTACCAACATCGGGTAGATGATCGTCATAAGCCGAGTTATGTACACCGATTGCAGCCCTACCGGAAGGATCAAGATTGTTCGACCAAGAAGCATCCCACTCAATAGCTTTAGCCGTGCTGCAAGCTATACTCGGTCCTCCAGGAACTGTTAGCCTCGCCGAATTCTGCAAATCCAACAATAGTAACAACATGGTTTAAAAATTGACTTACTGTACTGTTGGGCTAAAACGGTCCAAAGATAACATTAACATGGTGTGATATTGTCCGCTTTGGGCCAAGCCCGCATGATTTTTCCCAAAAGGCCTCACACCATTAAGAGTATCCAACTCCTTATAAGTAGAATCTTTTTGTGGCTTCCTCGTGACGGAATATACCAAGCTAAATCTTCTTTTTTAGAACCACAACTTAGTAAAGTAGGCGAAGTAGCAAGACGAGTGAACGAACATGCTTTAACCAGTAGTAAATACTTTTTCCAAGGAGAAAAAACACCTCCTTTATTTTTTATGTTTCCATTTAAGAGATATATGATTTTAATCTCTCGCAACAAGTACCTGTGGGAAGAACCTCTCAAAAATCATCCTGTAATAGTATGCTTCCTTTGTAGTTGGAGTGTTGTGAGGGAAGATATGTGCAGCATTAAGCATCATCCTATCAGTCACCTGAGAGAAAAGAATTGTTTCCGAGATCAGCTGACAGCAAAACAAACGAATATTGGATGATAAACGATGTAATAGTTCTGGATTTATTTAGAAGCTTACATGTTGTTCAGCATGTGCTTTCAGCCCATCGATCCAACTATAGCCTACACCATCACTGAATTGTTCTTTTTGCCGGTACAGAATATGCTGCAGAGTGCATAACAGAACAAACATGTTAGTTTTGATCCATAATTATTGGCGAATCGATAGGAAAAATACAACTTTGTGGACCTTTGGGAGATAGGGTTGCTCCTCATCATCAAAAGCCTTCCTAAGAACCCACTTCTCGATCCTACCTTGATCGTGTTTAATCTGAAACGATGAAAAACAAGTTATAGAGAGCGTGCATATTCAGTTATAGTTCTTGTCTTATTGACAAAATGGAGATCGGTTTCTTACCATCTTCCATTCTGGATCGATACTCATAGCGACGTTGATGAACTCTTTATCCAGAAATGGTACTCTAGCTTCTAAGCCCCACGCTGATGTTGCCTTATTTGCTCTCAAACAGTCATATTGGTGAAGCGCTTTTATCTGCATACGAGTGAAAGAACAGGATTAACATTTCTTAACTCATCCCATCTCTCGAATTATAGCAATTTATTCCAACCTGAGACAAACAAAAGACAAGGAGAATCAGACTTGCCAAGGGAGCCGATGTGTTTTTATTACCTTGTGACATGTCTCCACGTGGAATTCTTCCTTGTTCGGAGCCTTGTGGAAGTACAAGTAGCCGCCAAACAGTTCATCTGATCCTTCCCCCGATATTACCATCTTCACTCCAAGTGATTTAATCTTACGCGATATAAGGAACATAGGAGTGCTTGCTCTGATCGTTGTTACATCGTATGTCTCGATATGGTAAATAACATCTTCAATAGCATCAATTCCATCCTGCAAAACATGAACACTTGTTGCTTTCTAGGAGGAAAACAGAAGAGACTCACATGAATAAATCGAAGTAGCAACACGATTTACAAACCTGAACTGTGAAGGTGAACTCGTGGTGAACGGTTCCCAAATAGTCAGCAACTTCTCTTGCAGCCTTGAGATCTGGTGAGCCCTGTTAGTCAGAAGAAAAACAGAAATTGGTATCTATTTTCTATTACAAAGTCTCAAGACCAAAGGCGAGTCCAGTATCTAGCGTCAATGGGCTCAGAATGAGTGTTTTATTATATGTATACTTCTTATATTTTCTTGGATTTGTATATATGGTTCGAGCCAAAAGCAATGAGTTAAGTTGAACCCACAAAACCCGCCCCAAATATGTCTCCGCTCAGGATTGATAGTCTGACCTCGAGACCAACACAGAAGGAATGAAGCTGTGCTCCCCATTGCTTAGCAGCTTTCGTTCCAGCCAAGTAGCGGGCAGTGACAGAAGCAACCAAAGACGAATCAAGTCCCCCGGAGAGCAGAACACCAAAGGGGACATCGGTCATCAACCGTTTGATAACAGCCTGCAAAATTAACAACCACTCCTTATAGCCAAGATCGTTTGTACAGACAAAACTTTTTGAGTGCTTAAAACCAAAGTCGAGAGGAAAACATCCTAGATAGTACACTAGATTCATTAACAAGCCTCACATTTTCGAAGGCACGTCTCAGAACTAAGGGGTCGTAAGGATTTGATGGAACAGCCTCAGAGAACCATTGAGGATTGTACCATCTCCTAAACCCGCCATTCTTGCTCGAGTACAAGTGCCCGGGAGGGAAAACTTCAAAATGTTCACAATCATCATTTAATCCCTTTAGCTCAGAAGATATCCACACAGAGCCTGAGACATAAAAACACGACGTAATACCGAATAACATATATCAAGATTCTTCAAAAGTAAATTGGAATAGCTTCAGTTTTAATTTCTAACTGGAAAATTGTATATAAAATCTTACCATCAAGTCCCCAACCAATATATAGGGGAGTAATTCCAATCGCATCACGAGCAGCAAGAAAGCTGTTATCGCGCGTATCCAACAATACAAAAGAGAACACCCCATCCAACATGTCCACAAAATTTTCTCCATATTCTTCATACTGATCAATACATATCCTTAGTGAGACTTTGTTAAATTTTTCTAATTTACAAGAACATATTTTCTAGAGCCTGTTCGTTTAACTGATTAAAAGTAGTTGATAAGAATCAAGTGCTAAAATAACATTATGAATGAATCGTTACGTGTTTGGATGTTGAAATTGATAATACGTGCTTATAAGCTCATTCAACTTATAAGCTTACCCAAACATCCGAAATCCCTAATATAATTACTGGCCTAAGTTGAAGGGGAGCCTTTGCTTAACTGGTAAAGTTGATGGCATGTGATCAGGAGGTCACGGGTTCGAGAGCTGGAAACAGCCTCTTACAGAAATGCAGGGTAAGGCTGTGAATAATAGACCCTTGTGGTCTGGCCCTTCTCCGGACCCCACGCATAGCGGGAGCTTAGTTCACAGGCCTAAGTTGGTTGACGAGTAAAGTAAACTAAACTCACAAGATGTGCAATAACATCACAGTCACTTCCAGTTCTGAACTTGTGATTAGGCATAAGATTACGAAGTTTCTCATGATTGTAAATCTCTCCATTGACCTGCAACATTTGGCACACAATCAATAATCAAATATACAAATTTTCAGCCATAAGTAGTCCAAACAAGGCAATCGTCAAAAAAAAAAGGAAGTAAATTAGAGGCACTCACTGTAACAACAATCGTCTTATCTTGATTAAAGAGAGGCTGATCACCAGAAGCAGGATCGATAATTGCTAAACGTTGATGTGCTAAGTAAAAATCACCATGTTGATATATTCCACTCCAATCTGGTCCTCGATGCTTCAACCTATGCGATCAAATAGTTACCAAAATTCAAATATTTGTTTCAATTACAAAAGGCTATTGTACTGTCACATGCAAAGGTGGATCCAGGATTTAATCTTGATCGGTTTGACATATAAAGATTTTAAAACCGAACTCGTTGTAGTTTTAAAATTAAGGTTTTAGATTATTGAAATTTTAGTGATTTTTCACAAATATATTTATACTAGGTTCAGATGACCTTGGTACGTAAGAGTTGCATGCGTCACTCGTCACAACTCGGAGGCAAATGGAGCACCGAGTTCAATGAGTTCAACTGAACTGAAATGTTTGACACGGAATACTAAAATATATGTGAAAAAATCACTAAAAAAATACTCCTCTGTCCCATTTTATGTGTCATACTTTCCTTTTTAGTCTGTCCCAAAAAGATATCATACTTCCTTAATTAGAAATAATTTAACTTTAAAATTCCTACTTTACCCCTAACGAAATGATTCACAACCACACACATATTTATAATTTGTTTTAGATTACAAGTTTCAAAAGTCTTCCATCTTTCTTAAACTCCATGACGAGTCAAACATCGCCATATAAATTGGAACGGCTGGAGTAGCAAATATTAAATTCTAAAATCATAGATTTAAAAGTATAATAAGTATAGTAATAAGAGTCTTAAAAGATTGAATTCATCACGTATAAAGTACTTGTGATAAAGTGTATCATGGCTTTTGCCATCAACATCATGAACAGGTCATGGTGACTGTTGGTCCAAGAAATTTTAATAATCAATAATCTATAGAATTAGGTCCCAGGCTAGGAATAATGTATCCATCAATTAAGTCTTAATCTTGTTTTAAATTCAAGTAGCCAAACAATCACTGCCAACTGATCAGGTCAGTTACATCAACATAAACTCAATTAGTTTAGCTTATTATTCATAAAGAAATTAGAGTAATGCAAGAACATTAAAACAAATGGGGCACATCAGACAAATATGCAACATAAGCTCTACTAGGATAAACTCGGGTTGAACTGAATCTATTACTTTTAAGTCAAATAATATTTATGTATTAATAAATTTGAAATACATAAGCTCTAATTAAATTCTGAATTTGTCTCATGCCAGTGCCGTATTTCAGGTATATCAACATAAGACGTACTCTATATTGGGCAGCTCGGTGCACAAAACATCCCGCATTCATGTAGGGTTCGTGAAAGGGCCGTATCCCAAAGGCCAAAGAGTGTGATGTAGACACTCTAATGTAAGCATTAGTGGATGCTTTCACGACTCGAATCTGAGCTATAGGTCACATGGAGACGGCTTTACCGTTGTTCCAGGCTCACGTTCACTCTATTACTTTAGCCTATTATTTATAAAGGAACTAAAGCAATGCAAGAACACTAAATGAAAAAAAATGAACAAAAAGGTGACAGTAGAATAACATGATAGAGTAATAAAATAAGAAAAGAAAGGGGAAATTGCCTGCGAGAGAGCTCAAGAACTCGAACCCTTTTGGCCTGAGAATCATCTGAACAATCCAACAAAGCCAAAATTCCACACATGATTGATCACTACTTTTTTTGTTTTGTACACCCTATTTTTTACTCTTTTTTTCCCCAACAAGATAAAAAAAAGTAAAAACTATATCCAATATAGATAACTTTATATCCAATAAAGCTCTACTAATAGAAGTAGTAAAATAGATAACAAAAAGAAAGAGAAAAAGGGAGAGAAATATGGGAAGATAGTTATAAATTTGCAGGATTTTGGGATAGAAGAACACGTAATTAAAGAAGGTAAAATGATAAATACACAAAAGATGAACGTGGAATTCTGTAAATGAGCCAAAATGACCACCGAATTTATAGGAGTTTTCATGCGTGGACAAACAAGTTAACTACGTCATTTCTAGCGGCGACGTTTTCTTTGCTTAATTTCTTTCGCTTTCATCCTATTTTGGATTTATCTAAGTGATTGATTAAGTTATATCTACTTATATTTAAAGAGTTTATTATTAGACTATCGGTGAATTTTAACTTGTGATAGCATTAGCCAATTGTTACGGTCCGAAATTCACTATAGATCGTGATGGCATCTAACGTCGTCGTCAGACAAACCAATGTTGATTTATCAATTTATTTACTCATTTTATTACTTTTAAAATCATAATTTCCATTAATTTAACAGTATGAAATAGAATTTTCAGGGTAAAATAATGATAACAATTACAATAACGAACAATCCGTAGGAACCCCCAAAACCCGGTGTCACAAGCGCATGAGCATTTTCTAAGGAGTACAGTAATAATACATCTGTCCAGAATGTAAATAAGACATGATAAAATAAATAGTACAATAGAGACTCGGCGGACTGTGATGCGTAGCCCGAGTTGCAGCTCACATAAAGTCTCCTCAACCGATGCGCCTACGCGCCAAGGTGATCACCAAATGAACCTGTCAGATCCTGGATATTTAGTGCAGAAGTGCAACATGAGTACGTAAATCAACGCGTACCCAGTAAGTATCTAGCCTAACCCCGGAGAAGTAGTGACGAGGGGTCGACATTGACACTTACTAGAGGTCCGTAAAATAATACAATAATTCCTAACAGATATGAAGTCCACGGAAATAGTGGGGTACATATGAAAATTTCATAATCTTCCAAATATTCCTTTAAAATATAAATTCCTCTATCTCGTATTTTACTTTAATATCTCCGAAAATGCCAAGTGTAAGTATCAGATAAATAAGGAATACCATATAAAATGCAGGCATCAGTGGAAGGTTTATCTCGAGAATATTCAAACTACTAGCGATATAACGTATGATTCCGCCGAGGTCGTAGGGCCCGATCCAGAATAACGTGTAAACTGCCGAGGGTCGTGTGGCACGAACCATAGATGCATCTATATACTGCCGAGGCATTCGGCCCACTCCACAAGAAAAGGAAGGAAGTTGCCGAATTACAAGATACGTGTTTACAATATAGTACATGAGCACAATAATAAGTACACCCCTTTACATTTATCAAATATCTTGGCAACAATTCAAGGTAATAAAGCTCGGCCTAATATATTTATTTGTTTTCCAAATCCATTTTCAGTTAAAATTTTAATTAATTAAACAAGCAAAGTGAGTCCAAACAATTTCAAATATTATTTGATAAAGTCCTAAGTCTTCCCGGACATAAGCATGCTTTAGCTACGTACGGACTCTTGTCACCTCGTGCGTACGTAGCACCCACAACTAGTTGTACATAATAATAAATATCACCTAGGGGGTAGTTTCCCCCTCACAAGGTTAGACATGAGACTTACCTCGCTCTGCAGTTCCATAACCGGCTCCAACGTCTCTCTAACACCTCAACTCCAAGCCAAACGTTTCGAAACTAGTCAAACAACGTGCAAATTAATCAAAATATACTCCAATGCTTACAATTTAACAATTTAAAATGATTCCAAACTCTGCTCGAAAAGTCAATAAAGCCAACCCTCGGCCCACATGCCCGGATTCCAAAACAATACTCCAAACTCAAATATATAATTTATTTTCAATCCCATGTCCAATTTCGTGGTCAAAATCCAAAAATACCAATTTCTAGGTTTTTCTTCAAAATCTCAAATTTCTACTCATTTTCATGTTTAAATCCATGTATACTTCATATATTTAACTCACAATGAATGAAAATAACTTACCCCATAATAGATGATGAAATCTCCTCTTCAAAAGTTCCAAAAATCGCCCAACCAAGTGAAAAATGAGTGAGAATGAGCCAAATCCCGTATTAAATCTAATCTACCCAGGCCCGCTCTTCTTCGTGATCGCGGGAAGACCATCACGAACGCGAAGGCCAAAAATCACAGCCTCCAAATTAACTCTACGCGTTCGTTACCTTCATGTTGCGTTTGCGATGCCTACTGCCCCTCGCCCTTCGCGTTCGCGTAGGAAGCGTCGCGTTCGTGAAGGCTAAACCGCTCTAGGGCCCAGCTCCCATTCCTTTTCCGCGTTTGTGACCGTCCTGTCGCGTTCGCATAGGCTGTTCCAGGTTCCCTTCTGCATTTGCGGCCCTGGTGACGCGTTCGCGAAGAACAAAAATCCAGCAGCCCAAGCTCCTTTTTCGCTAACGCGGGAGAATCTTCGTGTTCGCGAAGAACAACACCAGACACTAGCACCATCACCAGCACCAGCAACTCGGCCAAATTTGGTCCGAAACTACCCCGAAACACACCCGAGCCCCACGGGACCCCGTCCAATCACACCAACCAGTTCCATAACATAACATGGACCTGCTCGAGGCCTCAAATCACATCAAGCAACATCCATATTACGAATCGACGACCAAATTCCTTCTTTAAACATTCAAACTTCCAAACTTCGACGAACGCATCCGAACCCTATCAAAACACACCGGAATGACGCCAAACCTTTCGCACAAGACATAATCACAATTTGAACCTATTCCGAGCCTCGGAACCTCAAACGGACATCGATAACATCAAAATATACTTCAAACCAAACTTATGAAATTCTAGAACTTCCAAAATGCCAACTTTCTTCAATAAGCGCCGAAATGCTCCCAGACCACCCGATACTCAATCCGAACATACGTCCAAGTTCGATATCATCATACGAACCTATTGGAACCTTCAAATCCCGATTCCGAGTTCGCTTACTCAAAATTCAAACGCTAGTCAATTCTTCCAACTTAAAGCTTCCGAAATTAGAATTTTCTTCCTAGATCAAACTCCGAACTTCCCAAAATTCAATTCCGACCATACGTAAATGTCATAATACCTGAAGTGAAGCTACTCATGACCTCAAACCGTAGAATGACGCGCAAGAGCTCAAAATGACCGATCGGATCGTTACACTAATATTAACATTTTGCCATACCAAGACCTAGGTGATGGGCCGGGAATGGCCCTGGTCGAAGTCATGGTGGAACGTGACATATATTTTTATTAGTTTAGTAAAGAAATAAAGTTGCATTATTGCTATCCAATAATTAATTTAATTGTTTAAATACTTTTTACATCATCATTATATAGAATTTAAACTCGTATATGCATCGATAGTATTAAGATTTTTTTTAATTATCGGTGAATTTTAATCTGTGATAGCAGGATAAATATATTATTTTTAACAGGATACCAATTAACATTTATCAAGAGACTTTTTATAATTATTACCTAATAATAGGTTATTGTATTGTATAATCTATTTCTTTTGTGTTCAATTAATAATACTAGTTCCTAACAT